CCAATTGCATCTAAACACAGTACCTTAGCTTTTAATTCTCATATTCTTCTTTTAGGACACACTAGCGTATGCCACAGCCTTGCTGAATGAAAAAGATCAATCAGGAAGCAGTAATGGATCTGAGACCAGTCCAGCCAATGAGAATGGAGGCAGACATCTACAACAGGTACATAAAGTGGTTTTGTTTAATCAATGAAATATATGACATATTGACAAAATCAAGCAGCCTGTCAAACGTCTAGCAAAGAACCGTAGAGAAGACGACATGGGAAATATCTTATTCCAACTTCTAAAAATTAGCCTCTTATAGGAATTACATATTATGTGTTGAGACTGAGAAATGTGTATATGATCACTACTGCATCCGTAATATACTATAATACAAAGAAAGAGTTTGCATATATACAATAGTTATAATACTAAACATACCTCTATAGATCTACTCACCCACTTCATAAAAAAAGACTTAAGTCACCTCAACCAACACAAGACAGGAATAGTCTCTGGCCAGAAACAAAAACGACAATCAGTAGAAGTGGAGGGAGAAATAAAAAGATCGAAAAACTGGAGAACTGTAAGTACATCAGACACAAACTGGAATAATAGGATAAAACCTCATGAATTTAGGAAAACAAAAGAGGACTCTGCAAGAACAAAAAGAAGAAACAAAACAAATTTCAGTTTCCCTCTCCAAATAAACTAAACATATACTAATAGAATACAAGATGTCAATCACAACCTTTAACGATTCTCAAATTTCTCTGAAGCTGTTCCAGGGATCTTGATTCAGTGTAATACCTTCAATTAATGCACAGATTCTGTTTGAAGGGATGATTGAAATCAAACTTTGAATTAATTCATTCATCTGAAGCTTCACATAGTCCTAATAATAGCTTATGTGATGTGCTTTGTTTTTAAGGCCCTATTGCCTTCAGTGGCAGGCCAGCGCTAAAGGAAATGGTGAACATGGGCAATATTCAAACATTATGTAGCAGGTAAAATGTCACAATAGAGTCATAGCAAGATTATATTATTACATTACACTGTATTTATATTTCATCTGTCCTCTGATAGTTCATGGTAGTGCTGATCTAATTTATATTGCATTTATTTCTAAACTAACCTTTGATGTTGTCAAAGTTTTGAAAGTATTTCCTTAGATGAAATTAACAATTCAAACCTTAAAATATTCAAATAAAAGCTCTATTTAGTTTGTTAAACAACATATGAAAATATAGTTTCTGTTCCCAGTAACAGGAAGACTTGTGTACATTTGCGTTCTCCTGCTCATTTTCACCACCAACCGATATTAAAAGAGAGTTATCTCTGATTCTAGATAAGTTCTAAAATCATCATGCCATGGAGCCATTGATAGCTTTGTCTTCCATGAATTTGTTTTAAGTACCATATGTTGAGGGACATTGCTTTTTAATATAGCAAATTCCATACATACTTCCGTTTTAGTGCTCCTAATCATGGTGTGTTATCCTAGTCTGATATAGGTAGTCCTCGTTTAACAACTGCAATTGGAACCGGCAACCCTGTTGCTATGTGTCAAGATCATTCAGTGAAACTTCATGTGACCATACCTGATTTACAACATCAGTTCCACTTTGGTCATTAAGCATATCGCCCATAGTTGTTAAGCACATGCCGGAGGCTTAATGACTTCGTGCTGGTTTCTTCATGAACTTTGTCGGTCTGAAGATGGCTGTGAAAGTCGCAAAGGTGATCATGTGACTACAGAACACTCTGACCATTGTAAATGCAAGCCAGTGGCCAGGCACCCAAATCACTATCCCATGACCACAGGGACGCTGCAGCCATTGTGCTATAAGGTTGAACAATTGCTAAACAGGGCAGTTATTAACCGAGGACTATCTATATTTCACATTCAGTCCATCTGTTCTTTTCGTGAAAAATGTAGGGTTAATTTCTGGTTTCCAAAAGGCCGTTGCTAAATGATGCACAAGGCATCATTTATGATACCTTCCAGCAATAACTATTTGTTCAGTTTAAACAACAGCATAACCTTTCTAATTCTTTTGTATTTTTTAAAAGGGCTCAGTATCTCCCATGATGATTGGTGAACCTAAAAGTGACCTTGAAGATGTGGATACTTAATTGATGGCTGCAAGCTGAAGGAGAAAAGCTCCTCTGAAGTGGAGAATACCCAGCACTTTCGTGATATGGCTGGAATCCTTTTGTTTTCACTTTTAGAGGAATCTGAAGTAAATGCTTTCAAAAGATCAATAGGTACTTTGTAATGAGTTAAAAGTATTCTTCAGTTGAGAAGTTCCAGCATTAGGCTATGAAAGTCTCCCGACATCTGCTATGGTTCTTATAGATGCTAGTTTAGGCATGAGTCAAAACAAAACAAAACCCTGTCAAGATTCCACCCATTTAAGAACAGTTATCAAGTAATTGAAACTTTTATGTGAAAATTTAATGAGTGAATGTAAAACTTTTGCTTTTCTGTGATGCTGCAAAACAAAAGAAAAAAAGAAAAAAAAAAGACTTGGGTTTTTATACAGAAGAAAAAATCAGATTGCCTTTACATATAAATGGCAAATTTTTAATCTTTTTTTTTTAAAATATTGAATAGGAATATTCAAATTTATGTAAAAAATGTGTGATTTTCACTTGGCATTGTAAAATATTAGTTAAGAATAAATTTACACAAGGACTTTTGTATTTAATATGTCTCTAGGTAATTTGTATAGTGCTTTACATAAAGGGTTGTTTTTAAGAGAGCCTTTTATGTAAGGATGATTATTCCTTATGGAATGGTTTTGGTACAAGTTAGTCTGGAATCGGTAACCTTTTTTCCTGATGCTGTGTGCTTAAAGGGTAAGAGCAATAAAAGAGCTTTGTTTATTCCAAGAATACAATTATGGCATCAGTAGAACTTTGTAGAAAATGATGAGTAAGTTTAACAAAAAAAGCACTTTAAGACAGAATTTTATTGCTGTTTGCCTCCTTAAATCATCCTTCTACTACTTGGAGACATATTGAATAAACCGTTGTGTTAATAATGTGATCTGCAATCATTTGCTTATACTTTTAAATTGAATAAGTAGAAATTGGCTTTCCATGATTACTTGGGTAAAGTAGGGACATTTCAATTTTTTAAAAAAATTAACACAGGCAAAGGATTGCAAGCTGCTTTGCTTAGCTAGGCAGCACTTGAAATACAAATGTAATTCTTTCATAACTGGAAACAAATTGAACTTAATATGAGTAAGCTTTTGTTCACCACGTGAAATGCAGTTAATCTCTTAAACTACTCTCAACACTTTTTTCCACACCAATGTTGAATCCCAGGTGTTTTTTTTCAGCTTTTTCTTCATTTGCTTTTCCTTTTGCTTTTGTTCAAGGATTTTTGCCTTAATTTATACAAAATATACCATGCACATGAACTGGGGGGAAATGCTCAGAGTGCCTGGACAATTTGCCAAATCAAAGGCACAAGCAGCCAAAAAGTGCCTCTTTTTTTTTTCTTTTATTACTGTTACAAAAACTGAACTGGCACATAAATTACTTCACTGCTGTGCACTAGTTGTGAATATAACAGGTCATTTCACTGTTGCTGGAAACAGCTGCACATCTTCCGGTTGAAATTCTCTGCCATACGGGTGAGTCAGAGAAGTACTGTTAAAAATGACTTTTCAGCTGAATGTCTTCTCTGAAGGTAGTACTTTCAGTGAAGTTAGCAGAACTCAGATATTTTATTAAGCCTTCAAACATTTTAATACAATGTTTAAAAATTTAGAATAAATGTTGTTCCTATCCCATCCTGTGTCACCCTATCTTCCGTTTAATTTAAATGAAAGTAAGTTAGAGAGCTGATTTGAAGAGGAAAGCATCGGTCCAAAATCATTTAAATTTGCATCGTTTCCTATGGAAAAGGGGGTCTCATCCCAAGTTGAAGCAGGGCATTTTTTTCAGAATCACAGGATGATCTGTTTCACCACTATACTTTCTAAAACCACGGCAAACTGTTTTCTGCTTCACTCCTAGCTTGTAGAGAGTTAATGGCTATGGTTTCAAATATAATACTTGGTCAATTATTTGGCTTCCAGCTGTTATCACTTCAATCGGCTGAAGACTTTTTTTTTTAAAGAAACTAATTTGCCATGCAAATTGTCACACGTTTTATGTTGCTATCTCTTTTACTGCTAGTCCTTTTGGATGAAAAATGCATTTTACACATAACATTCTCTAGGATTGGGGCAATTACAATTCTGTTGTCTCTTCTCATTGTGTACAATTGTATTTAATTAGTTCCCAAGGCAGTGAAAAATGGAAAGGAGAGGCAGTTTCTCTGAGGGGAAAAAAAATCCTGGTCAATGGAATAAAGGTTATCCCTCTCACCAAAAAAAGAAAAAGATGCCTGATTATTAAGTTAAAAAACAGCAGTGTGGTGGCCTAGAGGTCTAGGTCTCACCTCACAATTAGGAAGCTGTGAGTTTGATCCTAGGTAGATTTTCTTCTCTGGGTGCAAAGAGAAAATATCTGCTGCAAATTCCACATAGGTGTCAGTGTTTTACAGCACCTTCTGAGCAGTTTATGTCAGCATATTGCCCTCAACTATCTGGATCCTCATGTTATCAACCTCGGAAGGATGGAAGACTGAATCAACCTTGAGCTCATCAGAATCCAAGTCCTGGCTATGGGCAGAATTAGCCTGCAATACTGCCTTCTAATCACTGTGCCACCAGAACAATATCAGTATGCTATTTTATACTAAAAGATGTGAGGGTATTTAAGGATATTTTTCATACCTATCTTCTATATAATCTGGTAATTTATATATCTCCTAAAGTTCTTTGTTTTGCCACACAGTTTATAATGGGTATCACATATGACTTTGAATCACTTAATGAAAAAACCCAAGATGTGATAAAAGTTAGATTTTTTTTCCTTTCTTCTTTCCTTAAATATAATTGTAGAAAAATGCAGAGGAGGGGTTTAAGTACAGCTTCATAAATGCAGCCACATTAAAATTGTATGAAACTTTATTTCAAAAAGAAATTGCTTTATAAAATGTTATATAAAACAGAATAAATATATTCCAGATAAAAATGTAAAATCCACAGCACAAAGAAACCTTCTCAAGCAATTACAGTAGATAATAAATTTGAGTATTAACTTCAAAACAACATATAAAGAATCACATGCAGTTTATTCTATTCACGATTCGGTGTTTTTTGCCCTTTCTAAAGCAGAAATGCAACAGGCTCCAATATACATTTACTTTGAACTAAACTTACATTTAAGAAAATATGTATATGGTCCCTTAGTTAAAAATAATTTTACCTAGTAATTTGACATACACATGGTTAAAGATTCAATTACATAGGCAATTAAACATTTGGTAAGAGGGAAAGATATTTAGATGATAGTAATAGCTTACTTTAAAAAGCCAATTTAAATGGTTGCTACCAAACATTTTGTTAGGAAACTACACTGTTTGGTGCGAGTTACTCAGCGTGTACTTTGTTTCATGGTTGCCTTAAGGCCACTCATGCAGGAGTCCTAAATCTTCAGCGCTTTTAAAAGCTTCAGGTTTGTTTGTATAAAACTATTTTTCATTGATCCAGTACTTTTCCTGGGGCCCAATGATAATTTTTTTTCAGCTACAGTTCCAGTATTTTTCAGAATCCTCATCATAAAAGGATGGAGCTGAGAGTTATGCTTCAGTGATATCTAGGAGACTAGTAATTCTCTACATTGATCCAGTCTCCTTAGAGAAAACTGCTCGCATTTTTGCAGAGCTTCCTCCATTCATGGCTACAGAAACTAACACAGTTCATTTACAATAATTTTAATATGTTAAGTAATACAATTAAAGTAATTGTTTCCTGTGTGAAATGAAAGAGGAGAAATTTCTGCTTCTCAAAAGTTAGTATAAGTATACAATAGGATAAAATCCTATTTCAGACCGGTTACAACCCATTGTTAAGCAGTTTTGTATAATAGCATTGGAGAATGATGACAGAAAACAGTAATGTGTACAATCTAGATCAGGGTTGTCAAATTTACGACGACACGTCAAGTGACATATCTCAACTTTTTCCCCCTTTGCTAAACCGGGGGTGGTCATGGCCAGCACACAATGCAACCACCCCTGATCTAGACCCTAGATGACCAGGCTCTTTCAAGTTGAGAGCAGCAACAACCATAGAATTTCAAGAAGTGAGCAGAAGCAGGAGAAACGCTTCCCAACTCTTATCAAATTGTATTTGAATACTGGCATACCTTATTTTATTGTTTTGCTTTATTCAAATTTGCACATACTGCATTTTTTTAGTAAATTGAAGGCTTATGGCAACCCTTCGTCGAACAAATAAAGAACCTTCATTAAGGTATGTACACTGTTTTTTTAGACATAGTAATATACACATAGAGTGCAAACATAACTTTTATATGCAGTCAGAAACCCTCCCCCTCCCCCTCCAAAAAAAATTGTGTGACTCACTTTATTGCAATATTTGCTGATCTGGAAAGGAACCGGCAATATTTCCCAGGTATGCCTGTTTCCTTTTAAAGCATTAAACAGTTAAATTGTTATGTAACAGTTTAACTACAAAGAATACTCTATTTATTGCATGGGGCCTTTAGAAGGAAGGGTTAATACAGCCCATGGTTTGCCTATGTTTGCTGCAAAATATTACCATACAACTTACTATATAAAAATATTTTAAAGAGGATATAATGTTAATTAGTATGCTCTGCAATTAATCTGCTATCCTGGGCAGATTTAGAGTATTCATACTTTCACCTTTTACACTTTTAAGCATCACTCATATATACACGGACGTTTCTGGTTATAGTTCAACCAATGAAAGGTTGTGACCAAGCTAAAGAATTACACAAACTTTTACCTTCTTCATTCTTCTGCCTGCTCCTCCCCTAGCCTTCTACGCAGCTATAAGCATAATGCATTGAACTAATGGATGGTTGACAAAATAGATATTCTAAAAAGCCTGGAAGTCACTGATTGCAACTAAAAAGTTGTTGAACAATCATGTACAATGATTGATCAAAGATATTTTACAAATGTAGCTTAATTGATATTACTGAGACATCAACGACACCCATCTCTTGATAACAACAATGGGAATGTTGCTAGAGGGACAACGTTTTGCACAATTGCAGTATCTGAAATAGTTGTGCTAAGGCTATCACAAGTAATCCCAAACTGTATTGGAGTCCTGCTCTAGGGACTACCGTGTTTGCCAGTGTGACCCTATATGGCAATTGTCAAAATTTGTGAGACCTTTGGATAGCTGGAGGGGGAGAAAGGTAGAATTGTCATTTGTTACTGGAACTTTGCTTCTCATCCTCTAAGAGTCTCTTTCTGCAGCAGATGGCAACTGCGGTTGCTCCTTTGCTTCCTGGTCGGCCGATTACAACACAGGTGTTGTCCATTGAATATGCCCCAAGAGTGTTGAAGCTATGTGACTGGGCATTACATCCAGTTAGAGTCCAGCCATCATCACAGGTCTCCATCACCTAAGAAAAAGGAATTGGAGATTCTTTTAATCAACATACTGCTAAAATTCTCACGTCTTACTGACTTTTCTTCCTCTGTTGATTTTTTTCCTTTTGAAAATTATTATTCTGAGCTGCTGAAGCATAGAAGTATTTTTTCCTCTCTCTCCTGCTAATGAAGCTCTACAAAATGCTGCACGGAGAATCTGTCATTTCTAATTTAATAATACATTTTTTCATAGGAAATTTTCAGAAGTGAAGCAACAGTTAACTGAAACAAAACTGTCTGCTATGACTATTAGATGACTTCCTACATATTGAACAAGAATGAGGCATTACCGTGTTTCCCCAAAAATAAGAAAGACCTCCCCGGATAATAAGCCCAATCGGGCTTTTGAGTGCATGCACTAAGCCCTCCCCCGAAAATAAGCCCTCCCCAAAAATATTTAAACATGTGCGCAGCTGGTTCCCACCATTTCCTCTGGTTAGGGTTAGGAAGACAGAACTGGAAATCAGACAAGACAGCAAGAGGAGCCCCGTCTTGCTCCATGCGCCCCAAAATAAGACCTCCCCCAAAATAAGGCCAAGCGCTTGTTTCGGGGTTCAAAAAAATATAAGACAGGGTCTTATTTTCGGGAAAACACAGTAGTTGTTCCTTCTCTGCAGAACTTCCTTTTATAGCAGAATCACAGCAAATCCTTGTTGGACAATCTGTGACAGAATCCACAAAACTCATAAACCAGGTCAGGTAAGGAACAAGAAACTCCATGTGCACAAGTCTTAACTTTAATTAATGCTAATGTTGATTAGTTTTGATTTTGGCTGCCGGAAGCTAACATTTTACAGAAGCCCAACCCATTTGATTAATTCATGGAACAATCTGTAACAGCCTTTCCCTGCCTACTCAGTGGCCGTGCAAGGGATTGCACAGAATCATTTTCTTCTTCAATTCATGGGAGCTTGCACTTCTTAGGAACCAAGTTACCATAGTTAGACCGAGAGATGCCATCAAGAATGATATGCACATACCTTAGTTGAGTATTCCAAGGGAGGATGTCCCTGAACTCTGCACTCAAGGCTGGGTGCATGGCAGCAGGAAGCATGCACTGTTGCTTCTCCTTGGCCTACACAGTGGGCCCGGCTACTGTCTGCCTGGTGTACAGCTTTGATGCCGCCATTGAGATCTCCAGCCAGAGAATGGATGCTGCAGCCTGCCAGTGTAGATCATATTAGGGCATTTTGTTCAGTGGCATTTTGTAAAAGATTCACCTGAAGTATATACATGGCTATCACTGTTAGCTAACAGTACTGGGTTTTTTGTGTGTGTGCACAAGATTAGAAAATAAATGGCAGTCTTCCCTCAGTCTTTGTATTCTCACATGCAAAAAAAAAAAAATCCTTAGGAAAGGGGAAATAGAGCTACCAACTTTGGTTTACAATTTTTTCCAAAGTGCTCAAAGAATATCCTAACATTTTCACAGTGGACCAGATGTGAAATGACAGGCATTATAGCACAAGAACAAAATGGAATCCAGATCAGCTGTATCATTCAACAGTTTTAGGTAGTCACTTAAGATGGCAAATGCTAGAAAATGGTGAGAAGCAGGAATTGTATCTCTTTTCTTCTGTTGTGCTGCTAAAGCTGGTCTCTTCTAGTAACATACCATTAGTCACCCAATCTTATGTGACGTTAGTATCTTATGCATAGAAGACCTATTTTAGCACAGATCCTATTTGCTACAACTTACACATAATGATATCTACATCTACATCAAAAATGTTGCTTGTTTAGTTACTATCAAGAGAGCTGTCATTGCATACCTGTCAAAACATGGCTATCTTTGATGCAGCTAACACTTTTCATAGCTGTGCCCTCTGTGGTCTGTGAATGGCTATTAACCTGGCAGTCAGCCTTGGGCCAAATGCAACACCTGGCTATGGCATAGACACCTTGGCCTCGAAATCTGTTGTGAGCCACACACTCCTTCTTGCCTCCAATATCCTAGTATTTGGGGGAGGGAAAGAAGTGAGAATAAGATACCAAGAATGGCATCAAATCTGATTTCCGTATCTGGCCCAGATGCAGATCTGCGTATACAACTAATTAAAATCAAATAGCAAACTACACCATCTTGCCTTTGAACATTACCTCAATGTGCTCCCCTCGCCGCTTGCCATTCTTTGATAAACTTGAGCAGCTGAACATGTCTTCATCGCTGTTGCATCGGGCAACAGCTGTTGCTGCACTGGTTGAGTCAGACAAGGAAGACCACACAGAGCGACAGTACAGTTGTTCCTCTGAAAGAGAGTGGCTAATGGTCACCACTAAGGAATAGCAGAATCCCATTTGTTTAGGACTAGCTCCAGGCTGTAGTTCTACTTGGAAAAATCCTATCTTTGGAAAACACATTGCGCTAATGCACATAGTTAACTAAATAAGCCACAATTGGCCATAAACCAGGTGCTGAAGTTTGAAAAATGTCTTGTTTGTGCTTGCATTATTTTAACCTTGAAAACCCCAAAATAAAGACAGGAATTAGCGGGCTAAGTACTCCTCCCCTCTCCCGGTTATATTTTCCAAACACTAAAGAGAGTCAAGTTTTCACTTCATCTTGTAGAGCAGGTAGAGAGAATGGCTTTGGAGAACAGATAGAGAACATCCACAGCCAAGCTAACAATTAGATAAATGAAGCTTGAGTCCAAGCCAAGGAAATAATTTGAAAACACTTGAGTTTCTCACCCCACCGCCATTCTCATGAAGGGAGAAAAGGGAGGGAGGATGGCACACATGCAGATTTGCAAGATCCTTTTGCTAAAGCTGTTGTAATAAAAGTAGCTTACAACTGCCTGGTGTCTGTTTCATAGTTTAGTGTACCTGGTGACATCACTATACCACAAACATGTCCCCAGTGATCTCCAAGGAGGGACTGATGGCAAAAGTTGAAAAGATTAGTCATTCTTGCCATAAAACAAGAATTATACATTGCAAAGGTTGGGTTCACATAACACTTAAGGCCAATATTAAACAAACCACATTAAAGTTGAGTGCAGTTCATGGATAAAACAAAATTGGCTATTTGGAGGGATTAGATTAGATTAGATTAGATTAGATTAGATTAGATTAGATTAGATTAGATTATCTGCCTATCTAGCAAATATGCTTACATTTTGGTTATCAATTTGCTTAAGTTACAAATGCTAATTCAATTTAAGAGTAAAATAGATAAAAAAAGATTAATAGTTTAAAAAACTAGTGAAAGAGATGTCACTTAATATGTTGATTTTCTAAAGAGAAAGAGTAGGGCCAAATATATATAGTGCAACACAATTTGGACTTAATAAATATGCGATCATTGCAGTAAAGAAAGTAAATTAATTAACTTACAAGGTATTCAACTCTTACGTAAAACAAGCATCAAAGGTCTAGCACCTAAGTAAGTTTATAAATATCTGGAAATTTTGGAAACATCAGATAGTTTGTACAACAAAGAGAAAAATACTATAAACTCAAATTAATACAAATGGTTAAAATCCTAAAATCTCACCTAATTGGTGGAATCAAACAATTTATGTGCAATATCAGTAATTAGATCTATTACAGGAATTTTGAACCTTGTTCATCTTGACCAGCAAATCAGAAAATTGATGCCTATAAATAATGTCCTATATTCTCATATTGTTATTGACAGATTGCCCACCCCCCAAGAAAGACTGGTGGGCTAGCACTGATTAAAGGTAAAATAAAGAACGAAAATAAAGCTTAACGATTACATCAAGACAATAACAAAGCTTTATTGAATTAATCTCAGAAAGAAAGGCTATTTGGGGAAATGGAATTTCAGTGACTATAAAAAGCAACAGCTTGAAATGAGGTTAGAAAATTGGAAAAGCAAAGCAATATCTTCCTTGAAAGATATTGAAGGAAAATTAGACAACAGTAAAACATGAAAATGGCTTAAGAGTGAAGTATTTTAAAAAGGGCGTATTCTAGGAGTGCTTTTTATTGCTCAAGAACAAGCATTAAGTACAAATGTTATCAAAACAAAAGTAGAAAAGATCAGTTTAGATAGTAAATGCTGGTTGTGCCAAGGAAGAAACCACTGACCATATAATAACTGGATGCTGAAGCTAATTACAAAAAAGGCATAGTTGAATTGGGAAGATATCACTGGCATTTTGGTTGAGAGTACAAATTCACCTTCAATTAAGAATTGCTAGAAACATAAAATTACAGATATCACTGAAAGTCGCAGGGCAAAAAAATTAAGTATTTAAAATTCAGACTGATCAACTCTTTGAACATAACGCACACCCCATTAGTATCTTTGTAAAGAATCATTTTTATTTTATTTATGTAATAATTCCGTGGTGCTGTAACTTTGAAGACAAGAAATCAGAAAAAATGCTGAGATCTGCAAATGTAGATTGCAAAAATTTGGAACAAGTTAACAATGGTATCATTTATTGGATTATCTAAATTTAGAATTTACAACAGACCAAACACAACCAATAATATATCTCATACACAGACATTACCTTTACCATATCCAAGTTCTTTGGCAGACTTCAAATCATGAACAAGGTGCTATGACACATGATTAGTGGAATAAGAATAACGAGCCGTCACTAGAAGTCACTAAAAATAAGCTTTATTTGGCTATAAAAAAATTCATTGGGGCAATAGTTTTATAAGCCACTTCAAAGTCATGGTATAGTCTTCAGCTTCTTGAGGAGTATGCTTGATCAAGACAGTAAAAAAATTACTCCAATTTTAAAGTTCACATTCAGTTATGATTTGGTTGAAGTTCAAATAGCTAGTTTGGTGTAGTTTGGTAAAATCACCAAGCTAGAACCAGGAGACCGTGAGTTCTAGTCCTGTTTAGGCATGAGACATTTTGGTAATTTGGGGTCAGTCACTCTTCCTTAGCCCCTGCAAGGAAGCAATGCAAACCACCACCAAAAATATTGCTAATAAAACTTCATAGACATGTCTAGGGAGTTGCTAGGAGTCACAACTGGCTTGAACATACAGGATCTGAAATGGTTCGGGCCTGCACCCATGAAGAAAATATCAACAAGACTCTCACCTGCTAAAATTTTGGAGGGAAGCCCAGCCACTCTGTTTGGTGTTAACAGCCTCTGGTCTTCTGGAAACCAAGCCTCGTTCATAAGGTTTTTGACAGAAAAGTGGATCAGTTTCTGCCTCAGCTCGGAGATGGACAGGGCAGGATTGGCATTCAAGATCATGGCTGCAATACCTAGGAAAACAATCAAGCCCTGTATTTATCCCTCCAAAAACACACGTGAAGATGGATTAGGTTATGTATTTAACAGAACAGAATAGCAGAGTTGGAAGGGCCCTTGGAGGCCTTCTAATTCAACACCCTGCTCAGGCAGGAAACCCTGGCAGGAAATGATTGTCCAATCTCTTCTTAAAAACTTCCAGTGTTGGAGCATTCACAACTTCTGGAAGCAAGTTGTTCCACTGATTCATTGTTCTATCAGGAAATTTATCCTTAATTCTAGGTTCCTTCTCTCCTTAATTAGTTTCCATCCATTGCTTCTTGTCTTGCCTTCAGATGCTTTGGAGAAGTTCTACATTTTATATTTGTATAATTACATCAAAATGCTTTATGCTTGCATGGGTTTTTAACAGGAAGTCCAATTGATACTGATTATTTGCTTGGAAAATCTGAGGCAACTTAATACAAATGCAGACTTTCTCTCGCAGTTTCCCTTCAAGAAAATTATGCTCAAATCCTCCTGCCTGAATCAGGGAAGATTTCTATATGTGTGTGCAAATGAATAATATAAACATGAACCAACTATGCTCTTCAAATTCTAATCTGAATTAATGCCCCAGTAAACATGTACTTCAAAGTTATACCAATCTTAATGGCTTAAAAGGTTACATATGTGAATGTCTTTGGTTTTCATGGTTTTGTCCCATTTTGCCCCTGCATTTCTGCTTCGTGATTAAAGCAAATGAATGGAAAAATAAATGCCCGTTTGATTTAAAACACTGGGAACTTTCAGTCAAATAATTTTCTTTCCTGTTTCTGAATGTGATTGGAAAAGTGAATATGGTATTAGATTTACAGAGAGAAAGGAGCCTATCCATCAACAAAAAGTCCCTGTTCCATACTCAATTAAAAGTTACTCTAAATACTAAATATCAATTCAGTTTCTCATAAATCAGTTTCATCAGAAATTTAAACATGTCTTCTGGAAACCAGTGAAATCTAAAAAGGACTAAACTTGCCTATCTTGATAATGGAATACACACAAAATTATTTAGCTGCCTCTTCTAGAACAAGACAAGGGGAAATGCAGTCAAAAGTCTACCACTTCTTTAAGCAATCCACTGGAGCCATAAAACATAGATGCAATGAAAATGTCCATATTGTACCAGTTTAATTTGTACCACTGGTGGGTTTTGCAAAGCTAGTTGCTTTGTTTTTGTAGCCCCTGGAGCGACAAAGCTGATCTGTATCAAGCTGATACAAACCACTGTGTCATCCTTTGTTCATTTAAATACTAAAAATAGTGTCTTCAAGACCTGATAGGCTTAATACTTCAATTTTCCCTTCCTTAATCCCACATGCAAATAAAAAATTTCTGCCCGTTTTTTCCCACTGATATCAATACATTACCACCATGCACTGTTTTATAGATTTGAATTTTACAAATCTGAGAGTATATTTGGAATGATTTTTCTTAAAGGCTTATTTTTTTCATTATTGAAAATCTTGTCATGCTTGCCTCAAAGTCACTTAATCATGCATGATTGATAGTTATCTTGAGAAAACCTCATTATAAACAAGAACTAAGCAACTTGCTGGACTCTTCATATTTCTGTCCTACAATATTACCTGCGACATGGGCAGCTGCTTGGGATGTCCCACTCTGCGATGTGAAGCAGGTGCTGCAGTCACTAGAGGCACCAATGATATCATCTCCAGGAGCAAACACGTCTATGCAACGTCCAAAGTTGGTTCCCAAAGTCCCCATAGATGCAGGCTGGTCTTGGGCATTGGTTGCTCCAACTGTAATAACCTATGATAAGACAGCATCTTGTCAGTCAGGAGCAAACAGGAGAAACAGAATCTCAAAATCAGAGGTGGATCAATGAACAAACAAGTTTCTCCTGTTCTGTGTCTGGATCCAGCAGAGAAGTACTTTTGAGGAAAGCGATGACAAGATGTTCTTCACCAGTTCTTCTTCCTTTTGTCATTCTTCATACTGCTCCAGTAGCTTCTCAAAGTCTTTTAAAGCATTTTGTTCAAGAAATGTTGAAGGAAGGAGGATTCACAAAGATGACTTCCTTGTCCGCTCCCTCTAGCTCCAACATAGAAGATTATTCTCACTCTATATTTAGAGGAAGGTTTGCTGGCCATTTAGCCTAACTCTATTCAATGCAATAAATTAAAAAAATTAAAATCCTTTGCAAACGATTCTTTAGTCCCTGTTTCTCCACTGAGAGACACCCTCCCTCCAAATTTTCCTAAGTAATTGATTTTCTTGATTGAGAAGATCAGAGGTGTTTTGTGACACAGGAAAATGTTACACGGAAATACCAAAAATATTGTGCAATTATTATTTCAGGCAGAGGGCTGCAGGAGGCCATTGCAGCCGATAATGGGGCCTAGAAAAGCTGCACGCAGCCCCCCACCCCACCCCAGCTCCATTTTTGCTGGCAGAGGGCTGCAAGAGGCCGTTGTGGCTGAAAATGGAGCTTGGGAGCCTGTTTCCGCTGGCAGAACACTCAGGCCACCCCCGACACAAGTGACGTGAAGCTGGCCACACCCACCCCAGCTCCCCAGCCCCGAGGTCAAATACAACCCTGATGCAGCCCTCAATGAAATCAAGACCTGTGGTTTTGACATATTGTGGTTTATGGCATATTGGAGGAACAGTCAATAAAAAACGACCATACCACATTAAAAGAAAGTTCAAAAGAGACTGTGGGACCAAATAGGCTAGCTCTGTTCTTTATTGTGTGTCTATATAACATAATTGCATGTATCACCACCAAACCCACAACAGAATCACACCATCAGGGTATTTAGATAGCTAGAGAATGGGCTATGTGGGAGACCTTGGATAAGCCAGTATTTTACTGACATTCTGGCACTCCACAAGCATACAGGTTTTGATCCACACCATCTGAACAGTTGAGAGGATGGCATGGGTGAAGCTTCTCAATTTCCCATATTCTAAATGAGTTGGTACATCATTGCGACAACTGAAAAACACTGCATTTCAGGCAGTGAGGTAACTGGCAGATCTTGATGAGCTGGAGTTTTATTAGAGCAGAGGTGGGCAACTATGGCAACTTTATAACCTGTGGACTTCAACTCTCAGAATTCCTGGCTCAGGAATTCTGGGAGTTGAAGTCCACAGTCGTAAAGTTGTCACAGTTGCCCACCCGTGTGTTAAAGGGATTACAAACCATTTCTGGGCCATTTTTCCATGGGTTTGGGGCTGAAAGGAAAACCTCGTTGTCCGCTTACCTCTGGTTCTGATGCTGGGGAGTATAGACAAGCATCGTCTTTGTAGTTGCCTGCTGCAGCTATCATAACTACTCCCATCTGCACCATCCAACGACAAGCGGCATTCAGGATGCGGCTATAGGCGCCAGCCAAGGGGAGCAAAACAACCAGGGGACTGTAGGGCTGGACAGCCAGGGTCTTTGCAATGAATTCTAGTCCTATAGGGCAAAGGGTAAAGGGCAAAGGATTAGCGCCATCGCATTTCTTTTATCCAATGGAAGCTCCACATTTTAAAGACACAAACAGGAAGAACATTCTAGCTTTTTTTAAAAAGTGTTTTTTGGGAATGAGATGCAGGGGAAAAACAGAAAGCCTCAAAGAAACTGTGTAAAACTGAAAACAATTCATTTTTCCATCTTTTAAATCAGTAAAAATAAATTGAACTCTTTGTATCTTAAACCCTAACCAGACATATGCATTGATTTATGAAAATATAAAGAATAAGCACAATTTAATTTTGGACTCAATTGTGTTCAGAATTTAATAATTCTAATATCAGTCCAAAGTATTTTCCCCTTTTTCCTTCTCTGACCTTTAACCACAATGCCCAGCAAAGAATTTTGATAAACTCAAAATCTTAAAATGTTTTAAAACCTTGCTTGTCTCAACGAAAGTATTAAAGGCATTACCCTTTCTAACTGAACATGATCCCTAGTGACCACATGGATAAATGCATGCAGTTTTTAAAGGGACACAATACAGAAGTAGATTGCATTGCTTTCTTTTTGGGGTCTTTTTCCAAATACTGTCAAAGTATTTATAATGTTTGCAATAAATAAACAAAGTATTTCACATAATATTTTGGCCTGTAATTTTCACCTCTTAAGAAACGCAATACTGGCCCCCTCTGGATAACCATAGGTTTTTTCCTTTGTATAGGCCAAAGCTATAAACTATCATATGGAGTGAGGAAATGTCAGCCTAAATTTCTCTCTATAAATACTGGTGGGGAGGTGTGAAGTGCTGACTCTGTTGCTATAGGCGGGTTGGTTGGCTGTGTTGTTACATCTTGACTAGTTGATGGAGTTGATGTTTGCAGATTAGTCGGCTGTTTCATAACATCCTGTGTGGGCGAGGTCCTAGCTGTGTGCCCATTAGTCTTTTGTGTTTTAACGACCTGGGTAATGAGTTGTGTGGTAGCATCCTGAGCTCTATTGTTGTGACATCCTGAGTTCTGCGCTGCAACATCCTGGGTAGTTGGCTGTGTTGTGACATCCTGAGCTTTGATGTTGTAACATCCTGAGTTCTGTGATATATTGTCTTGAGCAGATGGCTGTGATGCCATATCCCGGGCTTTGGTTTGGCTCCGAGTCTGAGGTCTTGTCATGTGCTCATGGTGTGTGTTAGTTTGCTTTGTGTAGGGATTGGGTGGGGGTGACATCGCCAGCTGCTGCGCCCCCACCCGATCCCCACACAAAGCAAACTAACACACGCCATGAGCACATGACAAGACCTCAGACTCGGAGCCAAACCAAAGCCTGGGATGTTGCATCACAGCCATCTGCTCAAGACAATACATCACAGAACTCAGGATGTTACAACATCAAAGCTCAGGATGCCATAACACAGCCAACTACCCAGGATGTTGCAGCGCAGGACTCAGGATGTCACAACAAAAACATACATATATATACATATACATACACACAAACACACATACATACACACATACATACATACACACCGTATTTTTCGGAGTATAAGACGCACCTTTTTCCTCCCTAAAAGGGGGTGGAAATTTAGGTGTGTATTATACACCGAATGTAGCCCCGCCCACCCACTGGTCCCCACCCTTTGGCCTCTGCCTCCCAACAGTTTACCTCCTTGCAGCAAGCAGCAAGAAGAAACAGCTCGTTTCACCTTCAGCACAGCCTAATTAGCACAAGTTGATTGGATCGGGCTCCCGACTTTCAGCTCTTTTACTCTCAGCTGTTTTGCATGGGCCTCTGCTGCTTGCTGCAAGGAGGTAAATTGCTGGGAGCAGATTTTTTTTTTCTTGTGCTAATCAAGCTATGCTGAAAACGAAAATGAAAGTAAAGCAGGCTATTTGCTATTTGCTGCAATGAGGCAAAATTGCTGAGAGGTAGAGGCAGATTTCTTTTTCTTGTTTTCCTCACCAAAAAAGGTAAGTGCGTCTTATAGTCCGGAGCGTCTTATACTCCAAAAAATACGGTGTGTGTGTATATATATATATATGTAATATATAAATATATACATTTATATTAAGCCAATATTCAGACAAACTGTATATTAAGAAAAATATTTAGAAACGTATTGTGTAGCATTCTTTCCAAAAATACATAGCAAATAAAATTGAGAGAAATGCTCATAACAACCTATGACAAACTTGCAAATCCATATAAAAATGAGAGAATGAATTTAGTTTTAGAAATGATTGAACCCGCACTTGCTACTCACCAATCAGTGTGCCGCTTACGGTGCCTTTTCCTTGGCAGTTGAGCACCCGCAGACTGCGGACATTGGCCCCTTTGGCAACTCCAGCATCTCTTCCATTCACTACACCTGCCATGTGGGTCCCATGGCTGTCACACTTACTGGCCTTCCATGGAGCATAACAACAAAGTTTTGCACTTATTGCAAGTCCAAACGCATGTAGTAATAATAATAATATGTATACACCAAATAGCGCTCAAGGCAACGTGCAATTTGAAAAATTAAAAGCAAACCAGAGCTTTAATTATTGGTAGTCATGAAAAAGATTTTAAGACTCATCAATTGGGCATTCTCACCCAATGCGTCAGTCTCCAAGAGGAACAAGCTCTTCTACATTCTTGATGGAGAAAGAGAAGAGGCAAACCACAGAAGATTTCAAAGTCTTGGGCAGGAAGAGAGACAGCTACAGGTAGCCCTCAACTTACAGTCACAACTGAGCCCAAGATTTTTGTTATTAAGTGAAACATTTGTTAAGTGAGCTGTGTCCCATTTTACAATGTTTCTTTACACAGTTGTTTAAGTGAATCACTCGTTATTTTTTTTTTTAATTTGATTTATATGCCGCCCTTCTCCGAAGACTCAGGGCGGCTTACAATGTGCTCAGCAATAGCCTTCATCCTTTTGTATATTTATACAAAGTCAGCTTATTGCCCCCACAAACTGGGTCCTCATTTCACCTACCTTAGAAAGGATGGAAGGCTGAGTCAACCTTGAGCCTTGGCGAGATTCAAACCCTGCAGTAATTGCAGGCAGCTGGTCTTAATAAGCTTAATAACAGGGTGCCTTAAACCTCTGTACTACCAAGACTCTTTCTTATTAAGTTAGTGACACAGTTCTTAATTGAATCTGGCTTCCCCACTGACTTTGGTTGTGATCAAAGGTGACCACATAACCCCTATAAACTAGATGTTCCAGAATCTGATGGAATATAGTGAGGAGAGGGATCTCCAGGAGGGAGGGGGACATTCCAGAAAAGTAAGAAGTAAGTAACTCAGTCCAGATCAGGGGTGAAATCCAGCAGGTTCTGGAGAACCAGTAGCGGAAATTTTGAGTAGTTCGGAGAACCGGCAAATACCACCTCTGGCTGGCCCCAGAGTGGGGTGGGAATGAAGATTTTGCAATATCTTTCCCCCAGGAGTGAGGAAGGAATGGGGATTTTGCAGTATCCTTCCCCTGGAGTGGGGAGGGAATGGAGATTTTGCAGTATCCAAGCCACGCCCACCAAGCCTCACCACGCCCATCAAGCCACAGCTACAGAACCGATAGTAAAAAAAATTGGATTTCACCACTGGTCCAGATGTTATGTGTGAGGGAAAGAGGGTGAGGACAGCCCTTCCCTAATAGTTCAGACTATACTGTAGAAGCAAGACAAGATAGTAGAGTTCTCAGTCTGGCAAGGTTTTGTCTAAAGATGTGAAGCAATAAAGAACTCAGCCTGGAAGAATTGCCATGTGTTATTCTTGGTTTTGGGCCTGACACAAGTGTACTGAAATTACCATTTCCAGAATCTCTTATCCCCAGAAAGAAAAGTATCTACCTGGCGGTGAAAGCGAGTGCCATCTTCTTCAGGGACATTCTCAAACTCAGTCACAAATATTTTGCCTTCTATTTCTCGATGGGTGCTCTGGACACCGGTATCTAGCAGATAAACCTCAACCAGTTCACCAGCGTCTACAGAGAGAATCAATGATACCAGAAGGATGTGTCCACGATACTTATTGAAATAGTTAAAATGCATTCCTTATTTTGTTTGTGAATATTCAGGAAGATCAATCCTGATTATGGCAAATTCCATAATAATGAATTCCAAATAAATTCCATAAATTCCAAATTATTCAGTCAAATATTACAACATTGCAAGGGTGGTCTTAATTTTAACTTCTCTGGTGCTTTAGCAAGGGAAGGAAAAGAGTAAAATATTGTGATTCTGTGTCAGAAAGTCAGACTTAAAAATCTGGGTGCTAGAAGATGAACTGTGGACTGTTGTGAATATATGGACATAGTAATTGCAACACAGTAAGTCATTCTGAAGTTTATCTTAAAAAAAAATAGCTGGGAATGAGAAGGTGTGGCTGAGGCTACAGCATGAATTATTTTGACTCTTGTCTCCAACACACTTCTACTGGCAATTGGTGTAAGATCCCCATTAACATCAAAATGAGTTTGTCTCCAACCATGAATATTAGGAACAGGGAAGGAAAATGCAATCCTAATAAAAACTATAGCAATAGTAACAGATGAGTCTTCCTGCTGTCTTCTCATAATATATTCCCAATCCAACCCAACCCAACCTCCAAAAGCTCTTTTTAGATATCCAAAATAGAATCAGAAGGTCTCCAGTCTCATGTAGGTGCTATTCTGTTTAGGCTGAAATACTCTCGCTCCAAATAAGGTTTTTGTTTACTTTTTTTAAGTGTTTCTTAAATATATACCATGGAAGAGACTCCAATGCATCAATGACTTTGAACTAGAAGAGCATCAGAAGTTGCCTCTGAACAGAAACAACTGTCTCTTCTCTTGGACCTCCTATTGTTCATTTACTCTGATAGAAACAAGAGGATTAGGATTACTGTAGTGCTGTAATCCCTAATGAAGAATAAACTCAACTTGACCCATGTTCCATGACAGAATTTGAATTTGTATCCCATTCCTTCAATTTTTGTTGGAATAAATGTCCATTGCTTTTGATAAGAGGGTCCCTGCCTGCTTCTGAAAAAAATGTGGAAAAGATGAAAGGGGTATCTTACTGGGGGGATTATACTCATTCAGCATGTACTGTTCTGGGACAATCCGGCCAAGATTCCAAGGAATGCTTTGAGCAAACACGTAAGAGTCCTCTTCTATGTAATCCACATGTGGGAGTTTCAAAGCCTGCACAAAAGAACCAGAGGAAAGTATTGCAGCACAGGTAACAGGGCCACCGTATTCTTTTTGCAAAAATTACATAAATTATGCAAAAGAAGCATCTTATATTTGCATCTGTTTTACTACACTATAAAACAGCTTGTCCCAGATAGGTTGACTCTATGGAGAGCCATCGCAAATACAGTACCAGTAAATGGCAGGTTATTTTGCTACACATTTTGCAATATATGTTTCAACCCAGCATGTAAAACTGTTTGACATTACAAGAGCCAAACAAGAATGTAAAGGACGAATCTGAGCATTGAGCCTTCATTCACCCAACCCATGCGGGCTCAGGAATTCTGGGAGTTGAAGTACACAGGTGATAAAGGGGTCATAGTTGCCCAGCCCTGATCCAATCTATATAATACATACCTATAAATATGCTTTATGTTTTATACTCTATACTGGAGGTTCACAATGTGGGTCATGTGCCTCCCCGACCCCCTGGAGGGCCATATACCTTAGTTACTTACACACACACAGACAGAGAGAGAGACAGAGAGAGACAACATGCAGACAGGTATCTGGCCACAAGCATAGTGCACTGTAAAGAACAGAATATTTTCAATGTTTTGTCTTTAGAATGCAGAAGCAAAAAAAATCTAAAAATTGAGGGTAGAATGCTAAATTGAGTAGAATGGATAGTTAGAATACAGCAAAAGTAGAATATTCCCAGTAATTCCTGGGAATAAAACAAACAAACAACACCAAATTCTTTGTATTATAGAAATTTTTTATTTTGAAGTATTTTTTTTGTAGTCAAATTGTTTTGTCCAGGTTCTTGTCTGGTTTTAGAGGTAATCTACCCAAAAGGATCCACAACACTCTCTGAGGGTCACTTAATTATTATTTTATAGATTGATTGGTTTAAAAATATTGGCCACACACCTCCAATGGCCCTTCCCTTTCCCTTTCTGCATAATCTTAACTTCCAACATCCCTTTTCCCCTTTCTCATCTTTTCTGCATTGAATTAAACGCCTTGAAGATCTTAAAAATCTTAAAAAATGAGAAAATATCTGCTTCAAGTGATGGGAGTTGTAATCCCAAAGGTTAAGGTTTGGCTCTATACCCGTGATGGTGAACCTATGGCATGCGTACCACCTAGCCATATCGGTGGGCACGCAAGCTCAGCTCAGGTCCCACGGGAAGTTGGCAAACGGGCCGTTTCTGGCCTCCAGAGGGCCACCGGGGAGGTGGGGAGGCCGTTTTTGCCCTCCCCAGACTCCTAGAAAGACTCTGGAGGCTGGGGAGAGCAAAAAACGGGCCTACCGTGCCAACAGGTGCCAGGAGTGGGGGGGGTGTCGCACACACATACGCGGAGGCAGGGCGCATAGAATTATGGTTGTGGGCACGCACACGCGCAACCCACCCCTCGCTCCTGGCACGTGATGGCAAAAAGGTTAGCCATCACTGCTCTATCTATATCATTACCTCCACGTGGAGAAATTTGCTTTGAAGAGACTTTCATCCAAGAATAGAAAATCTCAGAAAAACATGCCTTCCCCAATAATCATTTATTTCACTTAAAAGGTTTTCCCCAAGACGGTGCCTCCGAGTGGACTGGATTTCAATTCTCAAAATTCCCAGCCAATGAGGCCAAGTTAGGAAAGGCCATCCTCAAATGATACACGAGTGCATCCACTTTAGGCCATTGTGCTGTTGCACAAGTCTTCCGATCACGTTTGTGTACTAAGCAACCTGGCACCCATTTGGCATCAGGGAAGCATTAACCAAACACCCCTCCTCATCCTGCTTGCTGGGTCTTGCACCATTATCTGAAATTTTTGAAATGTTTGCACAGAATCAGCAATTGCTTAAAAAGCTCCCTGGTTTTCAAGCTGAAAAACCAAAGAGCAAAGGTCTTGCAAAATGCCTCCCCTACCCATTTCTGTGGGAATAAATGGGAACAGGAATGATTCACAACCGAGATTGCGAAGTAGCTACACAGGATATGGATGCTGGCAGGAATTATGTGGCCTGAGTGGAAGTATGTCTATCATTAGGCAAGCAAGTCACTCTTTAAAAAAAGCCCTCTCAACAAATCTGGATACAGCCTCATGATAGGGTAATCCAGCAAAATTTGCCACAACCAAAGAGAGGTCAACTATGCAGATTACCTGTCCCTAACCTTTAAATGAGGGACGCGGTGGCTCAGTGGCTAAGACACTAAGCTTGTCGATCGAAAGGTCGGCAGTTCAACAGTTCGAATCCCTAGTGCCGTGTAACGGGGTGAGCTTCCGTTACTTGTCCCAGCTTCTGCCAACCTAGCAGTTCGAAAGCACGTAAAAAATGTAAGTAGAAAAATAGGGACCACCATTGGTGGGAAGGTAACTGCGTTCCGTGCGCCTTTGGCATTTAGTCATGCCAGCCACATGACCACGGAGACATCTTCAGACAGCACTGGCTCTTCGGCTTTGAAACAGAGATGAGCACCGCCCCCTAGTTGGAAATGACTAGCACATATGTGCGAGGGGAACCTTTACCTTTAACCTTTAAATAAAAGCATATTTTACACATATACTGCCATTTTTGCAAACATGGTTGAAACCACAAAGATATGGTAACTATTGACATCTTTCTTTTATCCATCATGGGTCTGTGAAGATTCAGAAAATGAGTCTCATTATCATTATACAAAACAATTTACTAAAGCATACAGGTGTACAACCTGAAAAATATCTACTTTACAATGTTTTTCTATAGGAAAAAACCCTTTCGAGAAATGCAAAGAAAATAATCAAAAATCAATTACTAATATAAGGAAACAGACTGGACACTATACCATTCAAGATGGTGACATGCAAATTTGTAGCCAATTTTCTCAGTGAACTGTCTGTGTAAAGTATGTGTTTACATGCCCTGTGTGTGATAGTAGATAAGAATAATCTCATGGCAGTCTTTGAGAATTCTAAAATTAGTATGTCAACAATCCCAACTCAGAGTGTGTTCTGGTTCTTAAAGCAAAGTCATAGCTTAAGCAATTTGCCAAAATACAACTCGCTTCCAAGTAAGATTTTAAATCGGCTGGAATGCTATATTCAGTAACTGCAATATGTTGATTTTTTTGCTGAATAAAATACTGAATTTTGTCACTCCTGAAAATAAAAATAATTCAGAGGTGGTTATCTCCCATGGCAAGTGGCAACACCTAGCCAACCTTTACTAACTTATGGTAAGTACTTGAATGGGAGACTACTAAGAAATACCATGATTAGGAAGAAGATAACAATTATTATTGCCAAGAAAATGATGTGGGCTTGTTTGTATAATCACTCGAAGTCACTTCAAGAGAATCTTTAGTTAAGATTAGCACAGGTTGATTGTTTTCATTGATGAGGATGAATTTAATATAAATAAAGCCTGTTTATGACATGCATCCATAGTGATGCTTTCCACATGTATTCAACATTATCTCAAGCCAGCAATCATCGACAAGCACACAAACACACGTGCATAGATAGATGACAGATACAGAGAGAGAGAGACAAACAGACAGACAGACATGGAAGTCTTCTATAAATATAGTAAAATGAATTCTTTGCAATGAAGACTTGCACTAGACCACCCCAAATGATGAACAAATTCTGATTTGGAATCTAATCAGGAACTAATAGAAAGATATTTCTCCCATGTAGAATAATATTATTTTTATTAAATAACAGAGGTAACATATTTTTAATTTATAGCAAACATTCCCACTAAATGGGTTACTGGGAATATTGCCAGGTTTGTTGTTTATAGGTTCAGTTGCTATTGAGACAGTTGTGTTAATAACTAGGATGACATAGTTGATAGTAGGAGTGTCTGCAGGGTATGGTCATAAAAGTCAAGATGGCTGCCATGATAGCTTGATCAAAGCCCTGCCCACTGTATATAGGTAGTCCTCAATGAATGTCCATAATTGAGCCTGGAGTTAGTCATAAATCATGCCAGTTATTAATCAGGTCAACACATGGCTGACCTGATCTTATGACACTTTTTATGGCAGTCCTAAAAATGAACACCACTGTCGCTAAGCAAATCCATTGCCTACAATAGGAGATTTCTGCGAGAGTCTGCAGAGGAAAGTGTAGAGCCAAACATCCATCAGGTCTGCCTGATGGAGCAGCCTCAGCTGGGTCCATTGGGCCAGTTATAGGCTGAGGCTGTAGGAGGCGAGCTGCAGCAAGTTGTCCAGGAGGCTCCACGTGAGGACCGGAAGCAGCTGCTGCCCCTTAACAATGAGGAGGAGGTGCAGTCCACACTTCCTCCGGGTCCAGGGACACGTAGAACAAAGAGGAGACAGGCGTCAACGCGGTGAACCAGACTACTCATAAGGAGACAACCTTGCCTCTCATGAAGGGGCTGCACCGGTGTTGCCTACTTAACCCTGCCCTGAGGATTTGAGCGTTGTTGGAGCAGCACGTCCAGTTATGTGCCTCGTGTGCTTGTGCCTTGTCTCCTGGCATGTTTGACTCCTGGCCTGCTTTCCTGGACTTTGTGTGTGTCCATTGGAGTTGGTTGCTTTTCAAGGAGCTGTTTGAAGGGTTTGAATAAACACCTAAAGAACTCTTACCATACATGCAGTGGGGGGAAAGCGGGGCAGCACAATATCAGTTTCCAGCTAACAAAATCATAAATCCCATTGCAAATAGCCATAAGTGTTGTTTGGAGTTGCTTAGCACCCAAAATACAATCACATGACTGCAGAGAGTGGGTTTCCTTTGGAACTTGAAATCTGGGTTTAAATAATTTTTTTTAAAGTGTCATAAATTCAAATGGTTACTAAGTGACCAGTCATTAAGTGAGGATTACGTTTATGTACACCACCCGTTTTTTATGTGCAGACTCTCATGCTTAACTGGCATATTAGCATGTGGACAATCAAGTTAGAACTGAACTTACCATATGCAGCACATCGCTGCTCATCTTGACAACGAAGCCCTGGATTAGCTCCTCAAAGATATGTAGGATTTTGGTCATGTAGCCATGCTTGGCTGCTCTGGCTTGCAAATGCTTGACAGTTTGTAGGGCTTGGGGTTTAAGGGTTTCTTCCTTGAGCACCACAATATAATGTCCAGATAAGCGCCATGACTCCTGGGTTTAGACAAGAAGAAGAGAAGGGTCAGAGGGGAAATCAAGCTCGGGTGAAACAAAAATCTCTTTTGATAAAATGCAGTAATCAAGTGGGGTGCATTGATTTAAAAATGCTCTTCCAAATCGATTGACCTTTAAGTCCCATAATCCCTTGGTTGGTCATTTTACGGGAAGGATTATGGAAGTTGAAGTACACTTCAGTTGTGCCGGTTATAACTAGAAATTTATAAAGAAAAGTGACAGTTTACTACCTCTGTTTGTGAACAAAATTACTGGTGCTAAATTACATGGTCTGGGTCAGTTCCACTCCTGAATGAATGAAATAGCCAAAAAAGTCATTCTAGAGCAGGGGTCCCAACCCCCGCTCTGTGGACCAGCACCGGTCCGTGGCCTGCCAGAAACCAGGCCACGCAAACAAGTGAAGTCCCATCTGCGGGATAAAGGCAGCACATGAAACCACATGCACACCCGGTGCACGGAAAAACCTCTCTCCAAGGAACCAGTCCCTGGTGCCCAAGAGGTTGGGGGCCACTGTTCTAGAGAAACTGTTTCTTTTCCTGAATTTCTATGCAATGTAATCTTACTCATCAACACTATTGCACTCCATACTCATTTTTATCAAAGGTTGGTAAAGAAGAAACACGGGATTTCATATCCATAAAACTGTAGCTGAATCAAGATTAGTATTTCAAATCCCACACTATCCCTAATTATGCCCTGGATATTGTATAATTCTCTACTAATTCATTTAAGGAATGCATCAATTTCTTATTGCCTTCAAATAACACATTCATCAACTGCTATCCTGGTTTAACATTCCTTCAGTCTAATTATATACTTTAATTGGTTTTGTTTATGAAAATAGGGTTGTTGCAAACCTTGGAAGAAACTCAAGGGAGAGAAATCAAACAACACTGCTTTGGCACTGCTAATGGGAGAAGAAACAAGTATTTGGCAATTTTCAAATCACTCTACCTATGTCAATTGAAGAGACAAGTCTTGGATGAAGCTGGGGTAGAGATAGGTTTTTACTCTTGACTAGACTGGCTTGAGGGACATGGTGATTTAGTGGCCAAGACACTGAGCTTGTCAATCGAAAGGTCGGCAGTTCAGCAGTTAGGAATCCCTAGTGCCACGTAACGGGGTGAGCTCCTGTTACTTGTCCTAGCTTCTGCCAACCTATCAGTTCGAAAGCACGTAAAAAATGCAAGTAAAAAAATAGGGGCCACCTTTGGTGGGAAGGTAACAGCGTTCCATGCGCCTTTGGCGTTTAGTCATGTCGGTCACATGACCACATCTTTGGACAGCGCTGGTTCTTCAGTTTTGAAATGGAGATGAGCACCGCCCCCTAGAGTCAGGAACGACTAGCACATATGTGGAAGGGGAACCTTTACCTTTACCTTTTAGACTGGCTTGACTAGACTGTAGCCATCAATCAAAACTCATTCTGTTTTTGTACAAGTGTTTTTCATGTAGACTTGCCCATCAGCTGATAATTGGGAAAGTTTTAGATCCAGCTTAGCGCTCTTGCAAAAGATCACTGAATCTCTATTCAAAAGGAGCAAAACAGGAGTTACATGCTATTCTAGAAGAGCTCTAAAGTCATGCTTAAAAGCAGTTCAAGCAACAACTAACAAATAACAACTGTGCCAGGGAGCATCAAAGAGACAGCTCTCTCTTCCACCTCACCTCACAACTCCACCCTAGGACAGTTGATTAGATGCTGTTCAAACTGATTCTGGTCTCAAAGGCAGGACTCAGCTCAAGAGACCTGGCAGATACAGAGAGGGAGCCCACCTAAAAATATGACTCTCTTACAGCCAAAACAAGAATGGCCCTACAATCCCCTGAATTTCCTTTGAAATAATGTTTGAATAATCTGGGAGATTTTGCACACTTTATGGTTTCTTTAGTGTTGGAATAAGGGGAAAATACTTTAATGCCCCATCACAAAGGACAGCTTAAGCCTCATGAGGCAAGATGAAGACAGAAAAAAAGTCACTGCCAGGTGTATTTGTGCCATTGTTTGGTGCAAAAGAGAAAATGCCCTCCATCTCAAAGAGATAAAATACCTGTGAGTCTAGAAACCCCATTGTCACTTGCTTGCCTGCCCTTTTCAGTTAATATCCCTGATCCAATAGTGAACTAGAACTCTAGGACCCTGTAAAGCATCAGCTAAAATTTCTTTGGTGTGTCTTGCAGCAATTAAGCAACTTAGTCTCCATCACACATCGTTATTTTACAGCCCTTCTCTGCCTGCCTGGTGCAACCAGTGCATAGGAATCAAATAATTCAGAATAAATACATTCCAACCAAACAAGGAAGGTTCAGAGGTGCCTTAAGACAAATCAAGCGAATATAATCCTGTGTGGTTGATACTTGTTCCTCTGCTCAAATGACTGTACTTCCTGGATCGAACAGCTTAACCCGCATGAGTTCCTTTTTAATTAAGAATTGCCCAAGAATTCTTAAAACAACACAGGGACTTTTTCAGAAGTTTTGGGTTCTTTAAGCAGGATGCTACAAGCATACACTTGTTGGAAAACCACCAGGAAGTAATAGTTACTCACTCTCCAACCCTTGCCCACAATTCTCGGCAAGGAAAGGTTATGGGAATATTACCACATCACATCAACTGGGGAGAGCTGCCTTAGGTCACAGAGAGTCAAAATGATTGATGTCTGGCCAATTTTCTAAAATGAAAGTTTTTCTTGCTGCACAGAACATTACATTACAGTACTGTTGTGCTTTATTCTAAAAATCCCTCCAAGGGAGCTTTATTGTTTCATTAAGCATAATGGCAACATAGTTTATATTATTTCTTCACCTGCTACTTATTAGTATGCTCATCCCACCTTTTCTATGTCAGAATTGAGCTGAATGGGGTTAAGAAGATGCTGTAAATCACTGGTGAGTCACCAATTATAGTTACAACATATCCAAGCAATTTTTTTATAGAAAAAATAAAATGATCTTGTGTCACACTCTCCCAGCATTGCTAGATTTAAGCATAAGCTACACTTGGGATCAGGAAGTCTGAAGGAGCCTCTCAAAATTTCAGATTTTTAAAAAGTAGTTTATTATAATTTTATATCGGAAAGTCTTCAAATTAAGCTTCCTGTATATGGCATACATGATCCTCATGGATTAATTAATTAAGATAGTTTTCTGAATAGTTTTTATCCCAGAGCTATAATTGGACTCAACAAGGAACTAAAGGGCCACCATCAGTGAGCTGTTGGACAGAATTACTTGGTCTGTTGTGTGGATGTTTGGGTGGTTTAGGGGTGAGGAATTGTGGAGGGTGGGAGTGTGTTTGGGGATTGTTATGTGTGTTGGACCTGGTCTTTGGGTGTTAAGTGAATTTCGTTGTATGGGTATACTGTGTATACACGTACAATGACAATAAAGTTATTATTATTATTATTATTATTTTGTTTCTGAATGTATTCCTACCTTTCTATTCAGACAGAGCCTTTCTCCATCCCATCATAGGTTTGTTGTGCATCTTCATAGCATTTCTGCCTTATTGCACAGCCTTGTTCTGTTACTTCTACATTTTCCCATAATTTAGGGCCTTCATCATGTCTACATCAAGTCCTTCTTGTCATTTCCCTCATAGTGCAAGCCTTTCAAGGCAGATCAGACAAGGACAACAGAGTTATGAATGGTAATACTACTTTATTACAAGGTTATAGTAACAGAATCCTGTAAGTTTGAATGTGAATCTCCCTCTTCCTTTATCTTCATGAGAACTAAGGTCATGCCTGAGATGCTTACTCAGATTATATTTCTGCTCTGAACTCAGATTCTTTTGTCTGAGAGTACCTGGATTGTGTTTCTTTTCCTCCTGTTTCTCAAGGTTATTCCTACTGCCCATTATAAGTGATTAGTAAAATCGCAATGGAGAGAGTGTGTGTCCTGACCTAGGCTTCCTGAGAAAGCATAAATCACAATCTTAATCCCAAAAAACCTCTTTTATTAAGACAGCTGTGAATTATGGCCATTCACAGCCCTTATTGATTCACAAACAGTCTGTGAAGATTCCAACAGATGTGTGCTTGAGTTGACACAGTCTTTCAGGGTAATGTTGATAAGCACCCAACTTTATCTCCCTTGAAAGGCTGCAAGAGACCTAATTGTCAATTAGTTTTGCAAGGCCAAACGGAGCACAGAGTCAAAGTTTCTCAGAGCTTGAATTGACTATATGAACTAATTGCTTTCTGCAAAGGCTCACGTCCCTTTGCTCCTCTTTTATGTCTTATGGGAGGGGCCAATCATCCCCAAGCCTTACTCCCTAGTCGCCCTTTTTTTTCTTAATTGTTCTTGCATTCTGGCAGCTCTGCATATGCGCACACTGGGAACAGGCTCACACTGTTCTTCTGCCTTGCTGATGTCAGATTCCGTAGGCTCTGGAGGAAGCACTTAAATACCAAATGGCCCTGGCCCCCTCTCTGCCTCTGATGCAGAGCTCTCATCTGAACCTTCCCCAGACTCCAGGACTGGCCCACGTTCCTCCCCAACCTCCTCACTGTCCGAATCTGCTGCCAGCTCTGCTGGCCACTGGCAGGCCACAAGAGTGTGTGCCTTCTGACTCATCCACCCCATCACTTCAATTCTCATCATGCCTTCCATCAGAGGTCTGAATATGGCAGAATGCCCCAGGCAAGGGAGAACCCCAAGTCCATATGAGGAAACCCAAAGTTCAAACCGACGGAAAAATAGACAGACGGAAAAATAGACAGAGGACACCTGCCATGGTACTGTTGTTAGTATTGTCTTAATGACCCTTCCTGGGAGGCTGTTTAAAACACCAGATCCTTGTTCTGGAGCAAACTAAGCAGACTGTAGTAAAAGATTGCCCACAGTAATGTTTCTTGACTAGATAAATCCAGGCCCACCTTGCATTTATAGTGGGGAGTTTCAAGGCAAAGAAACAGAGCTTCCAATACATCTCTTTTGGAATTGACAGCTGTACATATAGTAGTGGCCAAAATTGTGGAAACCTTTTGGGAAAAGTGTATTTTTGAGGTTTGATGGCTAATAACACCACTATTTGGGGGGGGGGGGGGGTTTCAAGAGAATCATATTCCACTGGGAATATGGGAATAGCCCAGACCTTAACCCAATTGAAAATCTATGGAGCCAACTAAAGAAACTTGTTAATCAGAAGCAACCCACCAATAAAACACAGTTAATAGGAGCAATCATTCAATCTTGGTTTCACATTATAACAACTGCAGAACTAAAAGACTTGGTTCACTCCATGAGAAGACGTTGTAAAGCCGTAATTCATGCTAAAGGTTACCCAACTATTAACTGAGATGGTGATAATTTTTGTGTATCTCGTTTTTTCTATGGTGATAATTTTTGTATATCTCATTTTTTCTACGTGTTTCACTTTTCTTCTTTATACTGTAACTGCTATTCTAATAGCAACTCCTTCATAAAAGTTATTGCATTACATTCTTGATTAAATTATCTTTTCATTGATATATAATTTTATGGTAGTACTCCAAAAAGGAAGTGGTGTTATTAGCTAGCTTTAGAAAATACTTTTCCCAAAAGGTTTCCACAATTTTGGCCACTACCGTAAAGAAATCCCAAATCAGCAGAATCAGGAGATTTCAGAGGGGATATTAATATGGAATATTAACAACTGCCCCACATCTCCTTTCCCTTTTTTCTTCTTTTATGCCATTTAAGGAGGTCAAATTCATACAATCCATCCCACAATGCTAACCCACTTCACCTACAGCCTGCCTCCCTAGAAGACCCTGTACATTCACTGGGCGTATTCCGAGGGAAGCGGTCATAACGGGGCAGCCTGAGGCCATCAGGTCGTTGCACCAGGCAGATGCAATTCCTCCTTAGGCAACGTCCTGTACTGGCTTCACCGTCACGATTGTGGCGTCGAGGTCTGGACTCGGCTACCTGACGGTGTAAACCGCGGATAACACTATGGTCCAAACCAGCCCATCGAGGCTACTCGCGCCCGCCCGCAGCAAACGCTGCGCTTAAGCTGCCTTTCCCGGGCAGGCGAGCGAGCGATGCCATCGCTACACCAATCGCAACCGGTAACAGCACCGCTTCTTTCCAAACCGTCAGCAGGAGTTCACCCGGGCACCGGGAACATGCAACCTCCGACTCGCCTCTGGAGCGGCAAAGGGGAAAGAGACCCAGCCCCGAAGTGGGGAGCTCCAGGCGCGTCTCAGTCCCCCTTCCCTTCGCCGCCGCCTTTTCGCCTCTCCACCCGCCTCACCTTACTGCTCCGATAGAAAGCTGCCGGGGAGCTTCGGTGCCTGGCGAATTCGGCCAGGTTCTCCTCCTCGAAAGCCAAGGAGCGCATCAGGTCTTCGCCTTCGTCCGCCTCGTAGTGAGCGGCGGCCGCTGGAGCTGACCAAACGAGCGCGCCGACGAGCAGCAGCAGCAGCAGCAACCGCGAAGCGCGCCAAAAGCCGCGGCTGCCCATCGCGGCGCGCTTTGCAAAAAAGCGAGCCTTAGAGCGCGGGAAACCCGCAACGCCGGCCTAGAGAGTAGCCGGGAAAAAAGGACGTCAGCACAGCCAGGGCGCCTTGGCCTCGAGGCGCGCCTCTTTATGGACCTGAACTGCGCGCTACCGACTTGGGTTTATAAACTGCCCTTCGCGCTGCGCGTCGCTCGGAAGTAGCAAACGCTAAGTGACCATCCGAGCGAGTGCGCACACTCACACCCGCAGCAACTCCGCTTGCTTTTGCTTTCCCTCCCCACCGGCCCAGATGTTCGTGTGCTCCTCTAAATCTTTGGGGCGGGGATGTGCCGGATCACGCCACCGTTTTCCCATCGGACCATCCTACCTTGTTAAACATTAATTGGAGTTTTTCCTCAAGTTTCTGCCCCCTTCTTTTCTTTTCTTTTTTTTTTCCTGGCGTCGTATTACAGGGATGTTTTTATTTATTTATTTATTTATTTTAAATTCCCCAATCAGACAAATGCCCGTATTTCTATGCCTGAACACGAGTAGAAAATTATGCCTGGAAGCAAAGGAGGAAAAAAGCTGCCTCTTCTGCAGAAAGTCCTTGGGAGCGTTTTGTATGCTTCCAACAGACATCGCATTTTTGTGAACCTTACAACTTGTTGTTAAACTCGGCACCGAGATTAAAAGTCACCCTTGCGTTAAGTAAATATTTGACCCTCAGTCAAAGTTGAGGTCCGTCAGTTTTACAGATGACGAGCAGCAAGTGATTCCGGCTTCTGGACCAGATATCTTTTTTTCTTTTTTCTTTCTTTTCTTTTCTTTTCTTTTTTCTTTTTTTCTTTTTTCTTTTTTCTTTTTGCGTTGTCCAACCAGGAACTGGGCTGAGAACTTTGTGCAGGTAACAAAGCCTTATTCCTGAGCTCTTTTGCAGGGCACTATTTTAACTTTGTAATTCATGACCGAAATATACTTCCCTTTGAATTCCTATATTAAACAAGGAGTTGAACTCAGTGGCCTAAATGTTCCCATCTAAATTTGATGTGGATAGCTCAAATCTACACAGCTTTAAATGGGATCCTTTAAATGGCATCTATAAAAGAGGATAAACTAATAAGTGACTTCCTAGGGTACACAAAATATCCCCATAACACTGCTAGGCATATTTCAGCTTATATAACTTCTAACAACACTCATCCCCATTAGTTAAACTAACTGGATTATCACTGGAGGTTTTTAAGAACAGACTGGACAGTCACTTGCCTGCAGTGGTGGGTTCACACCAGTTCGCGAGAACCAGTAGTAAAAATTTGTAGCAGTTCGGAGAACCAGTAATAACATTGACTGGCCACACCCCCGAACCAGTTCCTGGCCCGGTCGCCACTCACTTACCCCGCCTACCTCATCAGAGGCTTTTTTTTAAAAAAAAACTTTTAAAAGCATTTTTTCTACAACCTCTTCAACTGGGAAAAGGGAAAAAAATGCCTTTAAAAGCCTCTGGCGATCCCAGCCGAATTGCCTGATCGCCAGAGGCTTCTAAAAGCATTTTTTTCTGCATCCTCTTCAGCCGAAGAGGTTGTAGGGAAAAAAACGCCTTTAAAAGCCTCTGGCGATCCCAGCTGAGTTGCCTGATCATCAGAGGCTTCTAAAAGCATTTTTTTCTGCAACTTCTTAAGGTTGTAGAAAAAATGCTTTTTAAAAAAAAGTTTTTAAAAGTTGGCCACGCCCACCCAGTCACATTAACTCCCACCGAGCCATGCCCATAAAATAAGCCACGCTCACAGAACCGGTAGTAAAAAAATTTAGAACCCACCCCTGCTTGCCTGAAGTGATAGGATCAACTGCTTGAGCAGAGGGTTGGACTAGAAGACCTCCGAGGTCCATTTCAGCTCTATTCTGACTGACTGACTTAAAAGGGGTTTTTAATCTTTTTTTTAAAACCATCATTTGCTCAAACCAACTACCAGTGTAATGTTAAAGTCAGTATGGTGTGCCAGTAATGTGTTGTTGGATTTGCACTGAAAAGATCCAGGTTCAAATTTGCACTAAACCACAAGGTGCAATGGATGATCTCGGCTTATTTTATATCATAAGGTTCATTATGGGTTGACATGAGAGCCTTGGACTCTCAAGAGAAAGGGTGGAATAAATGCAATAACAAATATATTAAATAAAGAAATAGTAAATGAAATGGAAAACAAGTCAAAAGCTAATTCGAAACTTGTCTTACAGGTTGTGATGCATTTATTATTAAATAGTGTTTTCCACTTTGAGAACAAGTAGAAACCAATTATAAATTAAGATGAAAGAGGAGGAAGGAAGGCATATCTTGGAATGTTATTCTTTCATAATCCATAAGTGACAAAATCTAGGTTCTCTTGGGAACCAATTGGCTTCTACTTAGATTTTAGGTTACTTATGGTGGAATTATCGCTTTTGAGAGAGAAGATAACAGTATTTGGATGCAACCTTGCTGATTCTGTATGTAATGTTTTGTCCACTATTGATTCCACCAGCCTTAGTGCCTTTCTGGAACAGATTGTTAGAGTTAAGGGTCGATTCAATTCTTGAATTAACATTTTCAGAGAGTAGGCTGGTTGCTCCACTCTGTGGTATTACATTGCCACATCACTCCATCTTATCTCCTATCCTACTTAATAAATATATCAACCCACTCACATTAGGTCATTTGGATATTTGGAAGGTCTTGTCACCAATACGCAGATTCTGTATTGCTCTTATTTCTCTAACATCCCTGATGTTCAGTTGATGCTGGGCTTGGATTGCTTTTGAAAACCAATTTAGGTTTAATCCAGATTACTTGGAATCACTCTACTGGTTGACTCTAACCTCAGAGCAGATGGTATGCATGGGTGTGAAAGCTTTTCACTTCACCAGAACGTTAGGTAGATAATTTGGGCCTGGAACTATTACTGTTGTGGTTTGGCAAAATAGGTCTAAAACTCCAGCAATCTGTCAGATTAGCATGATGTTGCAGGAATTTTAACTAAGAAACTGCGCTTTACAATTTGCATAGACTCCGTAAGATATATGGATTTATATATATTTCTCAAACTATATCAAAATATGATGAAGTAAATATTTCTTAATGTAGAGAGGCAGATTAGTCTAGTGGTTAGAATAGAATAGAATAGAATAGAATAGAATAGAATAGAATAGAATAGAATAGAATAGAATAGAATAGAATAGAATAGAATTCTTTATTGGCCAAGTGTGATTGAACACACAAGGAATTTCTCTTGGTGCATTGTTAGGGCATTGGACTAAGAACAGAAAACCTAAGTTCAAGGCCTGCCTTATTTTGGGCTAATCACTTTCTCAGCCCTAGGAAGAAGGCAATGGCACATCACTTCCAAAAATGTTGACTAGAAAACTGATGGACATACCCATTAGCAGGAGTCAAGACTGACGTAAGACATGCAAAAAAGTATGCAGCTAACTGATTTTAGTAGATATAAATCAATGGCTTTAAGACTTGGCTCATTGAGAATTTGAGCTAAGATTAATGTACCCAAAATGAAGCCCAATTTATATTTTAAAAGGGATTTAAATTTAATTAATATTAGATACTTTACACACTAAAATAAATTACTGATGGTTTTTTTATGAGGTTACATTTAATCAGGTTACATTTAATTAAAGGTATCCTGCTTTATCATAAAATAAATGTCAAATAATTTGATTCTAACCAAATGTTAGAATCATATTTTAGTGTTCTTATCCAGCTGGTCTTTCGGGTAATTTCTGGGCCCAGTTTTGAGTCCTGAAAAGTTATGAAAGAAGCCTCAAGACTTGATGAGTTGCACCACTTGAGTCCTAACACTATCAATGGAAGCACTTTTGAAGTTTCGAATCTCAGAGCATATGGCAGGAAGGACAGCAAAGAAAGATCAATGCCTATTACTTAAATACTAGAAAGAGAGTGACCATAAACAATAAAGGGGTTTTTTTTCCCCCTTATGCTATTTCATTATATCCAGGACAGCAATGAAATTCTGGACAAGTATTTTGTAGTGCTAGAGAAAATTGGCAGGAAATAAAGTCCAAAGGCAGGAACTAAGTGGAAAGCTTTGGTTGGAAAATCTGTTCTGTGGTCTTCTTGGAATGTTTGAAGTTCAGTACTTAATTCAGCTCAGCCACTTTAAACAAAACACTCACATGTTCTGCATCCTTTAATTTTAGGTTTTATGGATCACTGCTTTGGAGTTGGATACCAAGAACTTCTTAAAGCTGATCCTGTGTGATTTGTTCCAAGCAGGAAGGACAAGGCAACATATCTTTCTGAAATGAAAAGAGAAGAAGGAAAAGAAAAATAAGAGATTTGGTAAATGTTCACAGCACTGATGTAGGAGGGAAAGGATGACCACTAGAACTGTGAGAATCATGTAACACAACAGTTTATGAAAGAACCAAAATACTCCCAAATTGCTGCTCCAGATTTTGAAATAATGAATCTTGTTGGAGAACCATGGTTTTGAAGGTCATACAGAATGAAACAAAATACCTTAACTCGACATATTGAAGGATATTTTTGAACAATGGACTCAGAGGTTAATTTTGAGGGGGTCTGCCTCTATAGATCGACTATTTAAAAATGTTATGGAAGAACAGGTTTTACTGGACAAAACTGAAATTCATCTCAACTTGGATTTTAAAATGACAGGCTATAAGAATAGCATGGAAAAAGATGATAAATTGGATATACAAATGAATCCGGCTAATACCTTAATAATTAAAATAGATATATAAATAATAAACTAAAAGAGTGCCCTTAATAACTTTCCTATATTGTATTTACAAAAGAAGCTTGGTAAAATTTGTGACAAGGAACAAAGAAAAAATGAAAAGTTCTAGGACATTGTTTGGAAGAATTAAAAGTTCAATATTATTATAGATAGAAGGAAGGAATATAAAGTTGGCTTATTTGATCAAGATTAAAATAGATACATTATCTTTGCTGAATCCTTAATGGACTTTTGCTGACCAAGACTGAATGACAAGACTTTAGGGATTTGTTTATAGATGGGATATGGGGATCATATCCCATCTCTCATCCATAAAGGTGAAAAATTTACAAAAATTGTGTACATTTGTGATGAAGGTAGGAAGTAACTTCTTCAAATACATCTTTTCCGTACTACATTCTTATTTTTTCCCATTTCTCTTTTTCCTTTCTCTCTTTTTAGTTTTTATTAGTTTTTAACTGTTTTAATTATAATCTTTAATAAAATTATTATTAAAAAAGAAATTACAAAACTGGATGGGATATGGGAGCCATCACATAGAA